CTCCCGGGGGCGGCCACAGCTCTGCCAAACGGCCGCGGTTGAATTCCTGACGTGTTCCATGAGGACAGGGCGAGAACCAACCTTCTCTCCCCGTTTCTACAGCCTTCCCATCTTAGGACAGCGAAAGGCACTTCCTCTGCTGCTCATAAATGAGCCTGGGTGGGAGCAGAGGCACTTGCTGTGAACCGAGCATCGCTTGATCACAACAAGGCCTTGGTGATGCCCGGCTCTCAGCCACACTGTCCTGCCCGCTGCACTGAGCAGTTTGGGGGTGGAGGCATCTCCCTGCTCCAGCTGCATGGAGAGCTCAAAGACAGCCCTTTTGGGATGCTTGCCTTTCTAGTGCAGTTTGGGGGTGCATCGGGTGCTCTGCTTGTTTCCAGAGGTGGATGATGTGGTGAACAGCGTTCTCTTCCTCCTGAGTGACAGGAGTGCCATGACAACCGGCAGCTCGCTGATGGTTGATGGGGGGTTTCTTGTCTCCTAAGAGGACACCTGCGTCTCACACCTGGCCTTAATTTCCATACTAACACTGCATAGATGTAAACTGGATAGAAAACCGTGACCCAGACCCAGTCCTGCTGGAGAAAAGGGGCAGCAGGGCTGGAACCTGTATGAGAACTGAGACACAAAATCACCTTTAGAAGGCTGCTATGTAATAAATCTCACATACGCCGTCATGGAGAATGTTTATTGCACCAAATAAGGTTTTATCTCGTCACTCTACATGATGATTAGAAATTGGACCTGTCTTTCTTCCAATCCTATTCCCCCCCCCAACCCTTCAGAAGCTCTCCCTGTTCCATCCAAATCCATGGAGCCTGCCTGCACTTTCAGTGGGAAGGAAAAGAAGTTGGCAGACTCCTCATTGCTTCCTTTGCTGTCTTTAGTAGAAAAAAAACAAAACAGAGGCAACAACCACAGCCCTGCTCTGCAGAGACTGGATCTGGGGGGGAGAGGCCCTGCTAAAGACACGGGAGGAGCAGCACCACGCTGTCCTAGGGTGTGCGCACACAGAGGCAAATACCTCGGTTGCACAGAGCTGTTTCACTCGCTGAGTTTGGCTCATACCCAGTAAAGCACCTCACAATTAGTTCTTCAGCTTCGTATCTCATTACCCCGACCCCTTCAAGGGCTGGCTGTGGTTCGTTCCCAGCCGCAGGCACCCATCTGCAGAGCACCGGGCTGTGGGCCGCAGCGGTGAGGAGACCCTGCCCCTCGCTCAGCGCCGTCACAGCAGCTCCTCCCTGCTCCCGCACGGATCTTCCCCACCTGCTGCACCCGGGGCCAGGCCGGCTGCTCCCGGGACAGGGCGGACGTCTCGGCCCCGCAGCCTGGAGTCAGGAGAGCCAAAACAGCCTCCTGCCCCAAGGAGCCCCCTTGCCTTCCCCGCTGTGCCTCCCCTGGGGGCTGCGCAGCCCCCCGCTCGTCTCCTGCCCCCGCTGCCCCTTCACATCAACACTGACGTTAAATCAAAGAGACATTTAAAAAACACTGACTTCGTACATGATGAAGGGCCCTACACATCCCAGCCCCCTCCAGAAACACCCAGCTAATATGCAATCTGTCGGAGGACGACAACATGCTGAGCCAGCGCCTCGGCTGCAGCCCTCAGAACACGGTGCACTTTTTGCCAGGCTTCTTGACGGGCGGCGGGCAGAGCACGGCCCGGATGGCTTCGTCAAACACCGTCTTCAAGCCCCGCTGCGTCAGGGCCGAGCACTCGAGGTACTTTACCGACCCTGGGGAAAGAGAGCTCCAGCTCAGCCACTCCAGTGCTGCCAGGACACGCTGTCCCTCGCCCACTCCGAAACAAAAAGCTCGACGCCACGGAGATCTGCCAGCACGTGAGACTCACCAATCTCCCGAGCCATGGCCAAGCCTTGGGGGTAGGTGATGGGGGCCAGTTTCTTATCACGTAACCTTTCAATGGTGTCCTTATCGTCCCTCAAGTCCAGCTTGGTGCCCACCAGGATGATGGGTGTATTTGGGCAGTGGTGTCGGACCTCAGGGTACCACTGGAACAGAGAGACGTGATCAGAAAAGCAGCTGGCAGCTGGTGCAACCATGAGGACACGTTTACTATTGGGAAGGTTTCTACTGCGCTCTGACAGAGCACCTGAACAGGACACTTCTGCCTCCAGTTCTGAGCATGCTCTGCAGAGAGACTGGTGTAGATGTAACAGTGAAGGCACCAAGACATGAAACCGCAACACATGGTGCTTCCTCAACTGCATTTTAGCTCCTAGGACATCCCTTCTCTTCTTGAAGATGCGCATTCAAAAAGGCAAAAACTGAGCCAAAGAAGTCAATAGAAAGTAGGCCCCTCTTAAAACCCGCAGACTACGACCTTCCCTTGTCAAAACATGAACACTACAAGTTTTGGGCTTGTAGGTGGGGTGACTTCACTGGTCCTTCCCTCCCACTGTTTCACCCAGAACAACACCTTACCTTGGCTCTGACATTCTCAAAGGAGGCCGGACTCACGAGGGAGAAGCAGATCAAGAAAACATCCTGCATGGGAACAAGAGGGTCAGGCGTGCAGGAAGAAACCGCGTGGAGGGAGGGCAAGGAGGACGACCTCCTCCCGCAGGCCAGGACCGCGGCTGCAAGGAATTCTTCGCCGTGAAGGGGAAGCACAGCGCTAACTCATTCAGAGGGGGAAGGAATGGACCCTGAGTGCAGGACTTCTTCTTCTTCTACAATACCACATGTTAAACCCTGCGTCCACAGATACCTTAACAGCGCCGTGGGCTTCACCCCCGGCAGGGGATCACGCAGAAACGGCTACAGCTGGGGCCGCACTGCGAGCGCAGCCCGACAGCAAACTGTGCCGCCCAGGAAACAAGAACAGCGAGCACAGCTCGGTGCAGAGCCCCCACAGCGCTGCCTTCGCTTGAGCCGCACGGCACGCGTAGCTGCTCAAACTCTGTTACAAAGCAGGGAACAGGACAGTCTCTTATGAGAAATGCAGCTGTGATGCTTCCTAAACAACCAGGATTATGGCTGCAGCTGCGGGAACTCAGGCTTTCCTCAAAGGAAAGAAGCCTGGCTGTCCTCAGGAGGGAGCGGCTACGAACCAGCGCAAGCCCAGCACTCACCGTCTGTGGATAGGAAAGAGGCCGCAGTCGGTCATAGTCCTCCTGCCCCGCTGTGTCCCAGAGGCCGAGGTTCACTGGCTTCCCATCCACCATGACATTGGCAGAGTAGTTATCAAACCTGCCAAGGAAGAGCCCCCATCAGCGACCACCGTGTTGTGACCCGCACATCTCTCCATATGAAATCCAAGGGGAGGACGATGGTCTGCGCTCCTCACACACAGCCACGCTGTGACACTCAGTGTGACCTGGACAGCCCTCTCCTCACCTACAAAACCCACTTCTACACACACACGTGCACACAGAGCAAAAAGCAGCTGAAGCCCAAGGCCATTACTCACACGGTGGGGATGTATTCTCCGGGAAAGGCATTCGTGGTGTAACTGATCAGCAAGCAGGTCTTCCCCACAGCTCTGCGCGGGACAAGAGTGACAAGCGTAAGGAAGGGCACAGCAGGATGCACTGCAAACCTCACCTTCCCCCCAAAAAGAGCGGTCAGGTACAAAGTTATCACGTGAGAAAACAAACCCGCAGCAGGCTGCAATTCTCCATCTGGCAGGGACCAGGCTGAGCCCACACCGCGCACCCTGCCCTGGGTGAGCGCTCACCTGGCCCTGCTCTCTCCCGCGCCTTTTCCCCACCCATTCAGCCTCAGCAAAACACCAGGGAAAATGTGTTTGTTCCAGGAACCAACAGAGAGGAAACAGATGAGGGGTCTGTGCCGGGCTCGACACATCCATCATAATCTAGCAAAATGCGTCAGGAGTGGAGTGAAAAAACGTGCAGCAACACAGAATTATTTGAGCTCCTCAAAGAGAGGAGTTCAACGTCAATAAATATAAAGGCGGACAAGTAAGTATCCATAAACAAAAATGAACTTTAAAATGGACCACTGCCCGTTTGGAAAGATCTTGGCACCAGTGCAGAGGCCTGAAAACAGCAGCGCAGGCCTGGCTGGAGGCAGGCGGGCTTGCTGAGCCCCGTGGTGGAGCTGCCAGGGCTGGCCATGGTGTAAGTGTGTGAACGGCCCTGGCCATGGGCACTCGGGAAAAGCTTCGTTACAGAACAGAGGAGCACCAGGAGCACAAACGACGTGTGCAGCCCTGGGAAGGCTCGAACTGCAGAGAACCTCCCAGAGAAACAGACCATGAGGGGCAGGGAGAGCCGCCAGGCGCCGAGGGAAGGTGAGCGGCCGACAGGGAGGGGTGTCCTCTGCTCAGGGCTGTAACCGGAGGGACGCGAGGGAAGGCTTCAGGGGCACGTGAGACCGCAGGGGACCCCAGTCCTGCACCAGGTTACACCGGGCACAGCAGGAACCAGTCCAGTAAATCCGCACAGCTTTCCCTGGGCAGGTCCCCTCTCTTTGGAAACGGGAATGCTGTGAAAGGATCCCACACCGACCGGCCCAACTGTCCTCCTGAACCTCTCTCCCACCAACAGGGAAGTCACGTAATTCACAAAAAACATGCATATCTCTGATTAAAGTGTTTTTCTATCTGCGTTCATTTACTCTCTGCACCGTCAACTTGGTCTCAAAGCAAAGCACCAGCCTGCAAAGCACCAGCCAAAGTCCGTTTCCCACATGCCGCACTCCCAGTCACTGCTCCCCCGCCACAGCAAGGCTGTGCTGGTTTGGGTGGCTCCTTCTCCTGCCCCCCGCTTCAGCCCCCACAGGCCAGAACCCGGGAGGCCTCGCCTCAAATGTGCAACCAGGGGGATGGCCCAAGTGGGGAGGTAAAAACACTGGAATCTGCCTAAGACCGGCTCGTGTTCGGTTCTCCCTGTCTCACATCTGTGCCTGCTGTGCTGATGAGAAACGCAAACGGGGATTATGAGGAAAAATATGGAGGACAAGCTAGGAAAACTTACAAAGCACCATAAATCTATGGCATGCCTGCATCTTGCATACAGATGTGCTCTCAGAAAAAAGGCGTATAGAAAAGCCTAAAGAAAAGAGCAAGGAGGAAGACAACAGGCACATGGAGAGACCAGAACCAGGACATAAACAAAGGGAGACGTGAGGGAAACCTGTGAACACCGAGATTTTTAGGGACGACTCTGGCATGAGTCACGCTTGTACGGTAAAACACAGCGAAACGGACACCTGATGAAACAATGAGACAGATGTAACCCCGCAGAGGTGTCTGTTCTCCGGGCTGACCCGGGCGGACCCGCCGGCAGAGGCGAGGCCGAGCAGCACGGAGGGACGGAGGCTCAAGTTTGGGAACCGAGGAGGGAGCGGGAGGCGCCGGTAGCACTGGAACGGCGGCCGCTGCAGCAGGGCCCGATCTCCCACCGTGTGACGGCGGCGGCGCCCGCTCGGCCTC